CTTTGATTGTTAAAATTCACACTTGTAAATTTCACTGCTGTTGCTCTTAGTGTTATTTCTCTAACTTAGATTTTCTATAATAGTTCAATTTTTGTTTCAGTGCCCTTTAGTACAACGACGATTCCTGATGAGTGTTGCACGAAAACTTGTTTGAATCCATATTATTTCCCTACACCATTTCTTCATATTTTCATCGTTTATTGCACATCGTCTCCACCGTTTTTACACTTCATGAATAAAGTACAAAATGTCGGTTCAGCTAGTTTTATTGATTGCGGTTATCAAATTATTGTCTCCTCGCAATGTGTTTAAATTTTTTATTTTACCATTATTATTTTTTCGGCCACCCAGATAATGATGATGATGATGATGATGATGATGATGATACCAGGCCTGACATAATAGAGTGAAACTACCTAAGCTGGTTATGTTGTTCAATTGTTCATGAAGTCAGTTATACCGCGATCACTTCGACCCCTGGGTACTATTTTCTAGACCCTTATTTCATGTCTGTCTGTCTGTCTCTCTCTCTTTCTGTCTGTCTGTCCATCTCTCTCTCTCTCTCTATCTCTCTCTCTGTCTTTGTCTCTCTCTCCATCTATCTATCTCGCTCTCCCTCTATCTCTCTATCTCTCTATCTCTGTCTTTGGCTCTCTGCTTCTGTACTTTTCTGTCTCTCTCTCTGTCATTTTCTCTCTCTCTCTCGCTCGCTTTCTCCCTATCTCTCCATCTCTCTCTCTATCTATCTCCGTCTTCCTCTCTATGTCTTCTCTCTCTCTCTCTCTCTCTCTATCTATCTATCTATCTATCTATCTCCGTCTTCCTCTCTCTCTCTCTGTCGTCTCTCTCTCTTCTCTCTTTCTGTCTCTGTTGTTTTAGATTATATTTTCAACAACAAATCTCTGTCTCTCACTCCCGATTTCTCTGTCTACCCTGTCTCCGTCTCTCTCTTTCTCTCTCTCACTCTCTCTCTCCCTCTCTCTCTCCCTCTCTCTCTCTCTCGTTCTCTCGCTCTCAGTCTATCTCTCTATCTACAAAGGCTCCACCTTACTCGTATCTATCCATCTTTCTAACTATCTCGCTGTCTCTTTGTGTCAATCTCTCATTCTCGGTTGAGTTCTATTGAGTCGTATTGCTAGTCGTCACTGCAAAAGTGGAGCAATGAGAGCACAAACTAGTACCTAGTCTAGTGATTCTCACTCACCATGTTGGCGACTGGCTTAGTTGATCCATACAGCAGTCTTACAGATACCCCTCAGGTACTAGGACTACTAGCATCCAAATAGGACTCGAGCTACCTTTCTAGTGACTTGCCGCGATGTCCCGTAGAAGTCGTCAAGACTAACTTGGTACGACTATATTCTGCTTCCTAGGCTAAGACAATCTACTGGTCAGTACATCAGTAAGTTGGTGCTGTTGCATACTGCATTGCACAGGACTACCTGTACGTCCGAACTTTCGAATTCCCTACCTTTATATACCAGGAATGCCTGTTCCTGAAAGTTCCTGTGTCTTCCAGGGGTTTGTGCATGGGTGATTGGCGCAGTAGCTAGAAGCTAGCCTGACGAAGTGGCGGCATGTGCGTGACATTATATAAAAATCCATTACGTCTTCCCATTAATTAAAAGATCGATTGAGTACTGGACCTGACGTTGCAGCACGCACCTCTAGGACACATGCACAAGTCGTAGTGACTCTGCACGTCTTCACGTCGTTCAATTGCTACTAGGGAGAATTAAAGAAGTAGGACCCGCCGCTGCTTGTTGGCTGGTGAAACAGAGACTAGCCTTACAAAAGAGCTGAGCGGAACAAGAACCGATGATGCCGTTCACAAACGACTTACTCAAATCTCTTTCACTTCCCTCCACAGTGGGAGGAATGTTCGTAAACATCGGGAGGGCATCGGTACGCGATGACTGGACTAAATAAAATAGAAATACAATTATCACGTGAAGGTCATCCACCGTCCGTAGAAGGCTCAATTAGCCGAAATCAAAGAACGGAATACACAGACAGAAGAACGAGCAGTGGTGTTTTCTGAACTCTGACTATGACGAACTGATGATCGATTCAGTTCGCGAAACCCAAAAACATAGCGCTCGTTCAGCTCTCCGTTTAACCACAATAGTAGTTTGCCGTAACTGGATGCCCTTAGTGCAGCGGAAACTGTCCTAATATTACAGAAATCAGCTTGATCCAGAGATACATGAAAGGATGAGTATTGAGGCCGTGTGTGTGTGTGTGAGAGAGAGAGAATGCTTGCGTGAGATTTGGAGAATGTGTGTGTGTGTGTATGTAAGATTTAGAGAATGTGTGTGTGAGATTTGGAGAATGTGTGTGTGTGTGTGTGTGTGTGTGTGTGTGTGTGTGTGTGTGTGTGTGTGTGTGTGTGTGTGAGATATAGAGAATGAACGTGTGTGTGCGTGTGTGTGCGTGTGTGAGATATAGAGAATAAATGTGTGTGTGCGTGTGTGTGTGTGAGAGAGAGATTTAGAGAATGTGTGTGGACGCGCGTGTGAGTGTATGTGTATGTGAGAAAAGGGAGAGAGTGTGGGTGTATGTTTGTGTAGTGATGTGGTGTGGGCATGTGTGGATTTGGCATTTGTCCCCAGCTCTATTCTATATCATTCACGCCGGAACTACTGCTGCATAGCCCCAAGTCTGAAGACTTGGCAACTTCACGCCTGTACCTGGCTCTTGCGCTATGATACGCGTCGCCTATGACACCCCTCAGAATGTCCCAACTTGCTCCCCCTTATGTTCTGGCTGCCCGTTTTGGATCCATCAGTTGCCTGATGATCGTAGTAATACGTGAAACTCAGAGTTGTAACAAAGCTTCCAAACTTTCTCTTGTTATGTGTTTAATCAACAGCACTTTGGTCCATGACAATGTGGCCGGTCAATACAGGATACCGCTTGGTAAAGTGTCCGGGAAACGCAGGTTTTACTGTACTGGGGAACGACCTTAGTGGGTTCTAGTATTATAATTATTATAACCTAGGTATCACAGGCATGGTGATGGCCTGACACAAGTGAAACTTCCTAAGCTGGTTGTGTTGTTCAACGCAATTGCATAGCCGGTGGTAACGCGAACGTGTGAACTTTACTTTTTCTCTCTTTTATATTATAAGAAGAAGTGTCTGAAACGCATCATATCTGCACTGGAGTAGAACTCGGGTAAACCATTCGCCCATGGGCAGCTGGAACGCGTACTGAGTATCCCAAGTACTTACTTCCTCCGCGAATCCGTTAAGCAAAAGTTCGTTGCGTTTTTTGTGTTCTTGTCATGATCTTTCTGTGAGCATTAGACAAACATGTCATTGATCTATCCCTTACGTAGGGAAGCCGAAGTGTCGTCCATTGTTCTGACAGGCGAAGGAAACCAGAAAGCCGCTTCTGCAGGCTGTGGAAACATGCTGGCACGAGTACCCCGTTGCCCAGATGAGGAGCGGTTGGCTGTGTCCGCAAAGCTCTTTGCATGGCATTCTGGAGAGTCTGACCAGGCCGAACCTAGAAGGTGCTGATAAGTTTTTCACTCCAAAAGCAGCTCACAACACGTGCCACACGTACTGATGGCACTTAGGTCTTTTTTCCTCCCCCAGGGGACCAACCATGGTCAGTTTCTGTAAACTACCAGAGATGAAAGAAAGTGATTAATTTTTGAAAGGATTGGGCGAACTACAAATTTATAGGATCAGTCAGGGAAGTGAACTGCCTGAAAAGAGAAAAAAACCCAAGTGCCATCAGTATGTGCGGCACGTGTTGTGAGCTGCCTTTGGAGTGACAAACTTGCCAGCGCCTTCTAGGTTCAGCCTGGTCCCATAGCTCAGTGGTTAGAGCATTGCTCATGACAAGCAAGGTCCCGGATTAGAGTCCTGGCGGGTCTGGCGTTTTTTCTCTTTCCAGGCAGTTCACTTCCCCAACTGACTGATCCTTTGAATTTGAAGTTCTCCCAATCCTTTCGAAAAATTCTCTTTTTGCTTTTTTTCTCTCTTTATCACACCGTAAATTGGTACTCTTTCTCACTAGCTATTCTTGTCGTTTCTTTACAAGTGATACTTCTCACTCTTTTTCTGTTTGATTTTAAGTATAATAGTCCCCCGGTGTTTCTTGATTGTTGATCACATTTGTTTAGTTTCTCCACGTGATTTTCATATTTTAAGCGGTCACAAATGTCGATCCAGCTCATCCATGGTTAGCAGATTTGATGATGTATTTGCTTTAATGATGGAAGCAGCAATGTATACAGGACATACCATTTCGTGCCAATATCTACAACATGTTACCGGTGTGAGTGAGGTCTGCAAGACACAGCAGGTCACGTGAAACTGGGTCATTCACTACCCTTCTTTATGTTTTAAAAAGACCAGTGCCAAACATGATAATTATGAAGAAAGCGAAGCCACAAGTGAAACCAAACACTGCAGGAGTCGGGGCAGTGGTGGTGAAGTAGCTTAGGGAGCTCCGCCAACCTAGAATCACACGACGTCATAGCTACCGAAATGCACCATGAGAGGGGGGGGGGGAGAGTAAGAGAACTATGAACCGTAGCATTAGCAGCAAAGTTCGCACAAAAGACACAATCATGAAGCGCGGATCTACTTATTTCCTTAATGCAATGGGGATTGTGCGATTGGAATTGCAGTATTTCAGGTCGTGTGATGCGATTGAGTACTAATTCTTGACCTCGCCAGTAGGATAGAGTCAGCATTATTTTCCAGTAGATCGAGCCTGGTTCCCCTCCTCTCCCCGCCCTCCCCCCCCCTTCCTTCCCCCCCCCACCCCTTCGGGGCCATCTGATGGACTATCACCAATGCTTTTCCTGCCACATCAGTTCAGTGCTGCCCAGAGAAATCCAACCTCATGAACAAAATAGTGCGGGCGCTACGGAGCCAATACTGTTCTATGCACTCGGATGCGATGCTACATCATTAATCGGGTTGGATTTCACTTGCAAGAACTGTAGACACTGCTCTACAATGTAGGAATTGCACAGGTCGACTGCCTTGATCTCCATCACCAGGAGACGGCATGTCATCGGCCAATCCAAGGTCAACTGGCGAGCTGCGGATTCCCCAAACCTCCCTGTGTGTATTGTATTGCTTTCTGGCAAGTCTTTCGAGTGACAATACGTGGAAGCAACTTCTCTACGTAATGAAATAAACTGTCTGGAATGACAGAAGAGTGAATGAGTAATACACGGCACTATAAAATGTATGACCTGTGTGAAACCGCATGTACAGCAGTCGGCACAACAACGTGCATTGCAAGTAATGCAACAACGTGTACAGAGATAAGCCCAACAACGTGTACAGAGATAAGCACAGCAACGTGCACAGAGCTATGCACAGCAACGTGTACTGAAATTATGCAACACAGCAACAGCATACAGCAACACGTACAGAGATATGCAGAGGAACGACTTATACAGGGATAAGCACAGCAACGTGCACAGCAATATGCGCAGCAACGTGTACAGAGATTTGCACAGCAATATGTTCATTCAGAATTCATTTTCATGTATTTCATCGCGATGTTCGCAACAACTAGCACTTAGCCAATTAGGGGTGATTTGAAGCGAAGATATCAGTAAATCCCCTTTCATGACGTCACGTTCATAACGTCTCGCAGACGTACTCTGATTCAAGGGAGGTACAGGTACTCTTGTCTGTGCAGAATGAAACACACATAAGCATGTGAATCGAACAATGGTATCATTAATATAGCTGGTTGAGAGGGAGGCAAAGAACTTCTGATCCAGACAAAAGTGTACTATGCTTTGTCTTGCTGTTGCTGCTTTGCCCGAAGAAGAGGTTGTTGTGTGTGTGTGTGTGTGTGTGTGTGTGTGTGTGTGTGTGTGTGTGTGTGTGTGTGTGTGTCAACTAGTTCGGTTGGTAGGTACACTTATGCCGGATAGTGTGGGGTTTGTTGCCAACAGGCTCGGCTCCTTGAAGGTGTAATGTTGTACCTACCACCTTTGTTGGTTTCAGGGTTCATACACTTTGTATTTGAAGTAAACATACCTGTTAACCATGGACTACTTCTGGCTAGATTAACTCTTGTGTAATAATTAGGGCTGAAGCGATTATACCGAATAATCGAGTACTCGTTTGATAACTCTAACAATCGACCAATCGTTTAGATTACCGATTACGATTATTTTGCGTTTTTTAAATTTGTGTCCAGAAAGTACTGTAAACCCTCGTTTTGTGAAGTTTAAATCAGTTTCCGCTGGGAGTATGCAGTTGCCAGGGGTATGGTTAATGTTCTGAGGTTAAATTGACTTCAAAACTGCCATGTTTTGGAGCTACCCTTTCACTAATGCAGATTCGTTGGTATTATGAAGGCATATTTTGTGGAAACAGAGTAATGTTTGCACAGAATTATGACTCTATTTGCTAACGATTATACTCGATTACTCGATCGTTAAGCTAAAGAGTAATCGATACGTAATAACCCACGATCGTTTCAGCCCTAGTAATCATGGTGCTAGTGAAGCTTGTATCAGATCCACTCTGATTTAGCCACCCACACTAGTAGCAAGTATTACCTTCACTGGGGCAGGGGTAACTGCAGTTGGATCCCTGGACGGATACCCTGATGCCATCAATACTTTTTCTGCACAGAAAGCAATACTGCACCTTGTCCTCACCAACTTACTGAGGTGTGGTGAGCCCATAAGTGGGATCATTTTCAAGTCCACCCAGAGTTTTCGGGATTTCAGGGGTGTCGGCCGTTGGGTGGTTCAATAGCCAATTGTGTCATCTTTCCAAGATTCCTTTTGAGTCTCTCTCCCCTCTGCCGGGGAGACGCACGTGACCAGTTTTGGCATTGAGCAACAAGTACGAGTACAAGTGTGTGTGTGTGTGTGTGTGTGTGTGTGTGTGTGTGTGTGTGTGTGTGTGTGTGTGTGTAAGCTAGTTTACTTTGGGGTACACGTATGCCTGATAGTGTTGGGTCTGTTGCCAACGGGTTCGGTTGCATGAAGGTGTAATGTTGTACCTGCCACCTTTGTTGGTTCCAAGGTTCAACCACTTTCTATTTGAAGTATACATACCTGTTAACCATGGACTGCTTCTGACCAGATTAACTCGTGTGTAATCAATGGTGCTAGTGAAGCCTATATCAGATCTACTCTGATTTAACCACCCGCACTAGTAGCAAGTATTACCTTCACTGGGGGCAGGGGTAACCGCAGTTGTATCCCGAGACGGATACCCTGATGCCGTCAATCCTTTTTCTGCACCTAGTGTCCTCACCCACTTACTGAGGTGTGGTGAGCCCGTAAGTGGGATCATTTTCAAGTCCACTCAGACTTTTGGGGATTTCAGGGGATGTCGGCTGTTTGAGTCATCTTTCCAAAATTCCTTTTGAGTCTCTCTCCCCTCTGCCGGGGAGACGCACGTGACCAGTTTTGGCATTGAGCAACAAGTACGAGTACAAGTGTGTGTGTGTGTGTGTGTGTGTGTGTGTGTGTGTGTGTGTGTGTGTGTGTGTGTGTGTGTGTGTGTGTAAGCTAGTTTACTTTGGGGTACACGTATGCCTGATAGTGTTGGGTCTGTTGCCAACGGGTTCGGTTGCATGAAGGTGTAATGTTGTACCTGCCACCTTTGTTGGTTCCAAGGTTCAACCACTTTCTATTTGAAGTATACATACCTGTTAACCATGGACTGCTTCTGACCAGATTAACTCGTGTGTAATCAATGGTGCTAGTGAAGCCTATATCAGATCTACTCTGATTTAACCACCCGCACTAGTAGCAAGTATTACCTTCACTGGGGGCAGGGGTAACCGCAGTTGTATCCCGAGACGGATACCCTGATGCCGTCAATCCTTTTTCTGCACCTAGTGTCCTCACCCACTTACTGAGGTGTGGTGAGCCCGTAAGTGGGATCATTTTCAAGTCCACTCAGACTTTTGGGGATTTCAGGGGATGTCGGCTGTTTGAGTCATCTTTCCAAAATTCCTTTTGAGTCTCTCTCCCCTCTGCCGGGGAGACGCACGTGACCAGTTTTGGCATTGAGCAACAAGTACGAGTACAAGTGTGTGTGTGTGTGTGTGTGTGTGTGTGTGTGTGTGTGTGTGTGTGTGTGTGTGTGTGTGTGTGTGTGTGTGTAAGCTAGTTTACTTTGGGGTACACGTATGCCTGATAGTGTTGGGTCTGTTGCCAACGGGTTCGGTTGCATGAAGGTGTAATGTTGTACCTGCCACCTTTGTTGGTTCCAAGGTTCAACCACTTTCTATTTGAAGTATACATACCTGTTAACCATGGACTGCTTCTGACCAGATTAACTCGTGTGTAATCAATGGTGCTAGTGAAGCCTATATCAGATCTACTCTGATTTAACCACCCGCACTAGTAGCAAGTATTACCTTCACTGGGGGCAGGGGTAACCGCAGTTGTATCCCGAGACGGATACCCTGATGCCGTCAATCCTTTTTCTGCACCTAGTGTCCTCACCCACTTACTGAGGTGTGGTGAGCCCGTAAGTGGGATCATTTTCAAGTCCACTCAGACTTTTGGGGATTTCAGGGGATGTCGGCTGTTTGAGTCATCTTTCCAAAATTCCTTTTGAGTCTCTCTCCCCTCTGCCGGGGAGACGCACGTGACCAGTTTTGGCATTGAGCAACAAGTACGAGTACAAGTGTGTGTGTGTGTGTGTGTGTGTGTGTGTGTGTGTGTGTGTGTGTGTGTGTGTGTGTGTGTGTGTGTGTGTGTAAGCTAGTTTACTTTGGGGTACACGTATGCCTGATAGTGTTGGGTCTGTTGCCAACGGGTTCGGTTGCATGAAGGTGTAATGTTGTACCTGCCACCTTTGTTGGTTCCAAGGTTCAACCACTTTCTATTTGAAGTATACATACCTGTTAACCATGGACTGCTTCTGACCAGATTAACTCGTGTGTAATCAATGGTGCTAGTGAAGCCTATATCAGATCTACTCTGATTTAACCACCCGCACTAGTAGCAAGTATTACCTTCACTGGGGGCAGGGGTAACCGCAGTTGTATCCCGAGACGGATACCCTGATGCCGTCAATCCTTTTTCTGCACCTAGTGTCCTCACCCACTTACTGAGGTGTGGTGAGCCCGTAAGTGGGATCATTTTCAAGTCCACTCAGACTTTTGGGGATTTCAGGGGATGTCGGCTGTTTGAGTCATCTTTCCAAAATTCCTTTTGAGTCTCTCTCCCCTCTCCCAGGGAGACCCACGTGACCAGTGTTGGCAGCGAGCAACTAGTACAAGTGTATGCGTGTGTGTCCGCGTGTGTGTGTGTGCGTGCATTCGTGCTTGCGCGCGCGTGTGTGTGTGTGTAACAGCAACACTCTGTTTAACACCCTACACAACCATAAAGTGAGGGCAGCAACACTCTGTCCAACACCATACACAACCTTGCCCAGATGGTGACAATGTACTGTTTAACACCCTACAGAACCTTACACAGATGGTGGCAATACACTGTTTAACACCATACACAACCATACCCAGCTGCCATGTGTTGGGAGTACAAACTACGTCATTGCCCAATGAGCACACTGTAGCTGTTTGGCCAACTCATCATAGTATCAAGGTAGAAATCTTCACACAAACAACAGGAACGCGGAAGAAATAGAAGAAAAGAAGAAAACTAACCATCATCACCAACACTTTGTGCACACTGTAGCTGGTCCTTGCGGCAAGTCTCCTCCGGATCAAACACACACACGTGTACCTGGCTGTTGGCTTGACTGGACAAGCTGCCTTTGAGGCCACCACCGCTGCTCAGAACATCTTCAACTTCCTCCTCCTTTCGGTTCATCACGGCCATTCTAGTAATGATGTACAGCGGTAACAGAATGAAAACGATAATGACCACACTTGATGTTTGAGGAGTTGTGACATTTTCTTTCTAAATATCATCAGCTGGAATTCAAAACGTGCCAAATCCATTTTGGTCAATTTCCAGTTAACGCCGATGAGTTTTGCCGTGCTGCACTACAAATGTTTTGGTAGATGTAAACATTATGACCTAATACTAGGACTGCTCTTGCTCGTGTGTGAGCAGCCAAGTTTGGTATGTATACACTAAAAATAGTAATCACTTTCCATTTTGCAAAGCAGCATCAACGCTGTCGTTGAAACAATCTACAGTAGTCAGTTTAGGGTGACATTTCCAAATTTAGCATACTCAGGAACTCGCAAATTTTCAGTGTCGGTTTCTCTAATTACGGAGCCTACGTTTTACATGCAGGAGGCGTATGTACTCTTTACAATACTCATGACACTACAGTTGATTGAGAACGCCTTGGAAAACTGATTTATAAAACAGGCTAGAGCTTACTTAGTCTCATCATTGCAACTAGAGTCTACACCTGTGGAGGAAACAGAGATAAACACATACACACACACCCACACATTATATAATTATATATGTACAAGTATACATGTACACACATGCACACACACACACACACACACACACACACGCACACACACAAACAACCGTTCACAAAAATACACGCACACACCCACACAGATGACAGTGATCACCTGTACTACGTGCAAAAGAGTAAACCAGTTACTAGTTCTTTTTAGCAATTGCATAATTGCATAATTTTAGAATTGTACATGTCATACAGCCAGTAAGACTAACTAGGTGCTTCAGTACCATTCTAAAACTGTTGGAAGTTAGTGGAAAAGATGCCAGTTTGGATATTCTGCAGTGAATACACAAACTTGCTTGTCACCAGATCCAGCCAAACAAAAACTCCTTCTTGTAATAGATATTCCACTCTAGCCAATAACTCAGAACCTTTCCCCCAAATAATCCTAAGATGGTCAACTTGAAAACACTTAGTCAGCAGACACCCTGCGGTTCGACATACAGACGTGTGTTTGATGACACTAGGTCCCGAAATGCTTATCAGTCCACCGTGTAGCTTTCATTCATTTGCCGACGTTCTCACCTGCAGCTCCTATCGGGGCTCCTGTAAGGCCAAAAGCGTGCTTGAGGCATGGTGAATATTTCTTACCTAACGACTGCAAGATATGATGCGGCTTTCAATCAGACATGGCCGTAAATAATCCAAAGAAAGTTAAGCACTCTGTTTCTAAGGATGTAACACTGTCGAATAGACGATTGCTGCAGGGTTTGGTATTCAATCTCATATCAAAATGCAAGTTCTATCAAGGAGGTAAACAGCAGCATTCAGCCCTGTATAGATTTCTCATCCACTAACACACCATGACTGACCTGTATAGATTTCTCATCCACTAACACACCAAGACTGCCATGTAGTGATTTCTCAACCACTAACACACCATGACTGCGCTTTCCAGCCGAACTCGATACGTCGGCAGAGCACACCATCGGGAAAGCGACATAGCAATTGGTACTGAATTCCTTCATATAGCTGTTTCGAGTATGGAACTCTTGTCAGTGAAGGTAGATATTGTAGCCTATAGCTAAGATAATGGTACAGGTTGCATGCTCAGCATAAACTTACCGTTGGGTGATAGTACAAGCACACAATCAAAATCCCTTGATTTGGTCGAAAGTTTTTGATTTTTGAGACTTTCCCGTCGTCGCTTGGCAGTCACAAGGGAACGGATGCGGAGGACCAGCACTATCATCAAGAACATGCTGAACAGCGCAATGCCACCGAGTGCTAGTTGAGTAGTGGTGAATCCCGCCGTCAGCTTGTCAGGCGTTTCTGTTGTTTGGTTTCCTGCAAGCAACACTACATGTGGTGGATACAAAAATACAATCTGGAATGACATAATGCAATCTGGAATGACATTATGCAATCTGGAATGACATCATGCAATCTGGAATGACATAATGCAATTTGGAATGACATAATGCAATCTGGAATGACATAATGCAATTTGGAAATGACATCATGCAATCTGCACTGACATCATGCAATCTGGAATGACATAATGCAATCTGGAATGACATAATGCAATCTGGAATGACATAATACAATCTGGAATGACATAATGCAATCTGGAGTGACATCATAAATTCTGTCATTAACTCATCGAGTAACATCTTGTTGGGTACTCAGTACTACTACTCACCCATACAAATAGAACCGTTTCAGGAAGTGGAGTACCACCGTCCCCTTACGGTTAAATATATCATAACTATAATCACCCACCCGCTCCCACACTCACAATTACACACCCGAACATGCACCCCTTTCCGAACTGGGTAACGAAATTGAATGCAGCGTATTCACCAGTCTACATATGTAGCAGGTCATAGCAGATTGAGTATGTAGCAGGTCATATGTAGAACTTGGCTGAGTGTTAAAAGGAAAACGTAGAATATTTTATCCATTCCTATGCTCTCAAAACACCCATGGTTCACGGGTATTGCGTGTAAGCTTAGAACAAACCACATACGACGCTCGCAATTGCTGAAAGTGTTCGAGTGCCACACGGGACAGGGCATGTAGTGCTGCTCAAAGAAAGTAATTCGCCAGAGTCAAGAACCTCAGAGTGCTGTTCAGTTATGGGCATGTCAACACCGAGACGGTTACTGGTGCAGTGAATAAAAATGATGCAATCGAGGCGATTTCATTGGGCAGCAGAATAGTTCATAGCAAAGCAATCTTGTCTAATTATTGTCACCTACACACATATCTAGGGTAACAATAATGCACAGCTGCACTGCTATTTTTGTGCTCTTTGAATTCTCTTCTTCTAATCATCTTTCACTACAATACAATGAAATTCAAAGTGAAAGATTGTTAGAAGAAGAGAATCGCGGACGAATTATCTTGTAACCGGACCTGGAAACAGTTGTATAGACCACGTTTCGCCAGGGGATATCAAATTCACTAAAGGGGTTTACAAGGAGGAAAACTTCCTTCTGCCAGCGGAGAGGGCTCAACACAATAATGTGGAGCACTAGTACACACAAAAGGTGCAACGGATGTTTACAGACTCAGAGTTTCTTGCTCAATGCAATCATCAATTATCATCGAAGAACATTCTCGAATACCTGGGTGATGCACAAATTTTGATAGTGCTCACTTCCGTTAATCGTTTTTTCTTTGTAATTTTCCATTCAATTTCTGCTTTAATTCATATTTGCTTTGTTTTCCTAGCTTACTATTGCCGTGGCTGGCTCAACGCCCTTGTCTCAGGGGATTCTGTCCCTGCATTAGCTATGCTTGTCACATGCTATGAGATTGTGTCTAATAATAATAATGCTACTTATTACATGGTCAGTGGGACTTGGCCAATATAAAGCATACGTTGGTGATAGCTGGTTGGTATCTGATTCAGCAGAGAAAATATTCACTAAGGGGGTTTACGTACCAACCGAACTCATTGTAACGAGGGAGAATGTGTTCATGTAGATGGTCCGAACTACCTGAGCGCAAACTACAGTCGTGGCCAAGGGTACCCGACCCGCGAGTCGAAAGCAGCACCAAGGCTCATCTGCCCCCTTAGGTCCTCGCATGGGTATTTTGATTGTGCATTATGTATTTGAAAAGGAACTTGACCCGACTTTTGATAGGGGATCAGATCTGTTTTGCCACGATTGCATATGGAAACATTTGACATGTTCAATCTCATTACCCATTAGGATACCTCAACGCAAACACTCAAGAGTTGGTATTTTTCCTGCATACGTCCTCTACTTTTCGGGAATGGCCCATACCGGACAGTTTGTTTTCTCCCTTTCCAGCCTAAGAATGGGCCATGCCCGAACATTTGTTGAAAGGTTGATGACGTATGCAGCAAAGGGACCATATTTTTATTGTTTGTGTTCAGGTATCCTAATGTGTAATGTGTAAACGGCTGTACTGGGGTCTGTGAGTGATTAGAAAAATGTACAATATCATCACAAACTACTCCACCTTGGATTGTTAGCGGGTTCTCCGTTGGGTTCGAGGGACTGGGTGGACTGGATGAGGTCTCCGCTATGTTTGAGGGGCTGGATGGCCTGGATGAGGTATCCGCTGTGTTTGAGGGGCTGGATGGCCTGGGCCAGATCCCATCAACATTTCCATGGACGTAAAACCAGGTCCATGGTCCAGTGTTCAATTGTTCCTTTACTGGGCAGGTGTAAACATCGTACGCATCTCCGGGACAGAGGCGACTCAAAATCACAGGTAGACTGCTGCTCTCATTAACATCTTAACAGGGCAGAACACAGAGCACATGACAAAGAGAGCATGGAGTGAGCATGACATCATACAAAATGACCTCGTAAGGTTTGAAAGATCCTGTGCAAGTAGAACCCATGACCTCTTATTGCGGAGGTTTAGCATCACGAATTTTGCGTTCGAGTTCGCCAACATTATTCGTTTCGCAAACTGGTTAAATGACATTATCCTGGTGGAGTTGGGAGTACAGAGACAGCTGCTAGCCAGGGTCAAGATACGCAAACTGACCTATTTCGGGCAAACATGCCGCCCATCTGGCAGCGAGTTTGTACGTGACGTGTGGTTTGGTGTCGTGGATGGTAAGAGAAAGCGTGGTCGTCCGAAGATTAACTTTGCTGACAATATCGTTTCGTGGACCGGTATGTCTCTGCATGAGAATTGCCAGTTGGCATCTGACAGAGATGCCTCGCAGTCACACTGAGTGCGTTCGATTATGCACGCAAATCGATTCATGAATCGATTCATGAATCGATTCGCGCTATTCACATCACCCCATGTGAATAGAGTGAATGGATTCCGAATCGATTCCAGGGCTCATGACATGAAATCAAACGACTTGAATGCATGCGAATGGATCCATAATAATAATAATAATAATAATAATAATAATAATAATAATAATAATCAACGCAATAAATAGAGTAAGCTGCGCACTCAGTACAAACACCATTAGCAAAACTTGTTTTCATGTAAATAACTAAGCTTGTTCCTAAACGTTTTCGTCGCCATCTCATCAGAGGATTACTGGCAAATCAAAACTAGCTCTAAACTCAATATATAATACGCAAAATGCAAGTAATAATTTAGACCCTAACTAGCGCGAGAAAATGAGAAAACGTTTAGGAACAAGCTTAGTTATTTACATGAAAACAAGTTTTGCTAATGGTGTTTGTACTGAGTGCGCAGCTTACTCTATTTATTGCGTTGATTACATTTTTATCTCCACGTAAGCTTTTTAATAATAATAATAATAATTTTTAAAAGAGGTCGGAGGCGGATAATACTTTAAAACGAAGGTAAGTTATGGGTTGCAAGTATCCACGCAAACACACATCCAGTCATAATAAGGCACTTGTCATAAGTATCCGAACGTTTTCGGTCCCTTCTCATCAAGGATTATACAGGGAATGGCTCAAGTTGGAAAGACTAAAACTTATATAGCGTAAAGATAATTAGATAACAACACTTGTGACAAGGTGGAAAATTATCAAGTTCAGCACGACACAAAACTCGAAGGAAAATAATAATAGTGACAACAACATAGTGACCAAATTAAGTTACATTGTTACCACCTCGACGAGGAGTAACACCAAACAATTGTAGCGACAACACATTTTCTTTCTGTACGCAAAGTTCAGGATCTAACTTACGGATATACAAAGCTTCTAACACAGCCAAATGCAACGCACATCTACCACGTGACAATATTGAGAGAACATTATCACTGTACAACTCACGACAATTGGCACGGGCTGACAGATGTTGCTTGATTGACGAAGTGCGATTCTTAGCTCCGTTGGGTGTTGTCTCCTCCAATGTCCCGTCATCTCGCCTCTTCATGGCATCACCACTATCCGTCTCTTCGCGTTTCCGCGGCCTTCCACGTTTCTTGACGCTAACCTTTGGGTGCGCTATACCCAGTGTCCTTACAGCTACGTCTCCTCCATTGCGGATTTCTATTGAGCTTCTTACTCCAACTTGTTCGGTGTCCGATATTGAGGTTAGTTTTCGCGGTCTACCACGTTTTCGAATATTGACTGTTGTTGTCACTTCCGTTGTCGTTGTACGTTCGTCCTCACCAGTCCGTATTTTCATTTGGTTTCTCGTCACCCTTTCCGACGCCGACAGATCCTTTGTCAGTTTCGGTGGTTAACGTGTCGGTCTTTCACCATCTTTTATGCTGTTCTCAGCCGGCCCGTGTCCTACACACGCAGAGGAGGACGGGCATGCAGTCACATCTTCACGGGAAGAGGAAGATCCACCGATGGACTGGACAGCACATTTTGGAGGACGACCACGGCGAGGACGACAATCGCGCGCATCAAGCAGAACTCAACTTAACGGCACATGTTGACGAATGCGTGCGCCCAGGTGCTGAAGGGTTCTACCTACATATCGATCTTCACATTCTTTCAATGCCGACAATGTGAAGATCGGTATGTAGGTAGAACCCTTCAGCACCTGGGTGGTGTTAACCAAGGGTCTGGCTGGCCGGTGGCAATACCATCTCCGTGCCACACAGCACAGCCCTGAGGTTCTTCAGGTACCTGGCCAGGTAATTGATTCGGAGCTTTTGCCAGCTCTCCTGGGCCATGAGTTCGACCCCAATAGCTCACAGCGGGAGCTTCTGTCTCTGCCCACGAGATGTGGTGGTCTTGCTGTGCCGATTCTGCCTTCCCTGGCGCCTGTGGAGTATGCGGCCTCAACAAAGATCACTGAGCCGTTCGTGCGCCTGATTGTACCGCCAGATACATTAACGCCTCCAGAAGAGGCACCTGCTGCTCCATACCAGTCCTCCACACAACCTCTGACCGTTGCGGGTGCGGGACAGCCTCACATCGTTCGGGGCCATTCTCCCGGGTTGATTCTATCGTCATCTCTACCCGATGATTTCCGCCTACATCCTGTACCACGGCCTGGATGACGCAGCCGGAGGCTCGGGCGCCGATGTTACCCTTGATGCCATCGCGGATGTTCGACAGCGGGCACGTCAGTCACGTCAGCAGCGGCAAAAGAAACAGGAGGAAAGAGTGGCACAGTTGCGCCCCATGCTACCGCCGGCGCAACAGCTTTTGTTGGAAACGGCTGGTGAGAAGGGTGTTTCGAATTGGTTATCCTTCATGCCGTCTTTCGTAACGCCCAGTTCAATCCTGAATAAATCGGATTTTCGTGATGCTGTTTGTATTCGATATGGTTTGTCATTGGAGGGAGTGTCCAGTTCCTGTATTTGTGGGCAAGACATGACAATAGATCATGCCATGAGTTGCCCGGCGGGTGGTTACCCAATTGCAAGACATAACGAGATCCGGGACATTCTGTCAGAAGCTATTCGGGAAATACTACCAGATGTGGAGAAGGAGCCTCTTCTCAAGCCGTTCGAAGGAGAAACACTACAACATCGAACTGCGAACCGGTCTTTGAAGGCGCGTCTGGATATCAGGGCGCGGGGCTTCTGGACCCGGCAGCAGGATGCCTTTTTTGATGTACGGGTAACACACCCGAAGGCAAGCCTGCTGTCGCGTACAGACGTCCTGCGTCAGCTGAAGACCCATGAACAGGCCAAAAAGAGAGAATATTGTTCCCGTGTAAATATTGTACAGAGAGCATTTTTTTTTACATGGTGAGTACGAGTGAGGGTAGCGTTTTTTTCAGCTCGTAGATTTCCGTCCTTTGGATAGCCCAGTCGGCATCAGGCCGGTCTGGAGGTACCGGTAGGGTCTTAGCAGCGGTTGTAGTAGTCCAGTGTAATAGGTAGCAGTAGTAGTGTGGTGCCCGTAGTCGTAGTCCTAAATTTTTTTGAAATGGGCGAGCTGACAGGCGAGCCGACAAAACTGCTCTGCTCTCTGCCTGGTATTGAGCAAAATGTGGTTAGCTTGCTGCAGACTTTGACAACTTTTGTCAGCGAGTCTAGAGACCGGGAGAGGTGCCTCCTACGACGCTTAGATGAGATCTCTGCACAAATCGTGGAGTTGAAGGCGGAGGTTCGTGTCTCCCTTGAAAAGAAGTCCGCCATTACAGCCGTGGATTCCTCCTCGGAGCTGCCCGGCAGTACCCATACTCTCAACAGCCAGTGTACACGCCGTACCCGTACCAAAGGCAAAAGCAAGCAGCAGCAGCAGGATCTGCAGGCCCAGGATCAGGAAACAACTGGAGCGCACGTGGAGGCCGTATCCCGTAGCGGCACTTTCGAAAAAGTGATCGAGGACAGTGGGCCCTCAGGCACGGAGTGCTCGGACGCAGAGGACTTTCAGCAGCATGGAGGATGTAGATCTGGATACATGCCAGCCAAGCCTGTGCCCAACGCAACCCCTGCATTGGACTTGGAGGCCATCCAGGATGATTCTTGGCAGTTGGTGGCTCAAGAGCCTCACCGCAAGAAGCGAGTAGTTGTCTTTATTGGCAATCTTAGTTCCCAGTGCAATGACCAACGGCTAAGCGAGTTCATCACAACACGCTCCACCGCAGTACACCAGGCAGTTGCAGTTCATGATTGCAGTGTCCGTGAAAACAAGAAGGGAATGATGACAGGAAGAGTAACTGTTGATGCTGATGCCCTCCCCACAGTCACCTCTGTAAACTTTTGGCCTAGACTACTGTATGCGAGGGAGTGGACATTCCATGAAAAACGTCATGGGCCAGTGCCAGGAAAGGGAAATGGACAGTCTGTGCTGTCGAGGAAGTCAGGCAAGGACTCAGCCACTCACAGCTCCGACCTGACACCATTGCCTCCCGACCGCAAGCGGCGGAATGGGGATTCACCTGACTCCGGCAGCCCACTGCTCACGAAACTGGACGAAGGCCACCAGCAGCAAGAGTCTGCCGAGCAACAACAACTGAATGCAGACAGCCAGCAATCATGAAGCTCCTCCTGACCAATGCAGGTGGGCTGCTGTCCAAATTCGGCGAGTTTCAGCACACCCTGTTGCTCTCAGGTGCGGATGTTGCCATAGTGACTGAGACGAAACTAACAGTGGATAAAAGCTCTCACAGTGCATCTATGATCCCGGGATACTGTGGCCCGATTCGCCGAGACCGAACAGAACACGGAGGTGGCATTGGAGTCTGGATCAAAGCCGGCATCGCGTACCAGCATCTGGATCAGTACCAGTCTGCTGAATTCGAAACAGCCTGGCTCACAGTTGGCCAGTGCAACAGCAAAACTGTCATAGGTGCAGTCTATCGCCCTGGTTCCTGCGCTGACAATGATCTGGCTCTACTCGAGCACTTAGACCAAAACATAGATACCATGC